AAAATACAAAATCACGTTTAAAACATTGTTAGGTCACCATAAGCTTAAAAGTAAATATTTTGATTAACAGTCTTCCATTCCTAACAATTATCATACTAGTGGTTATATTGTATCAAATAATAGTACTTCATGGTCACATTTTAACTTCTGTGATCTACTTAATAATTCTCACTTTAGCGCCCATAAACTTTCTTGTAAACTGATTAACCCTTTCACTCCCACGATCTCATTAGTAATTCTCCTAACGGTCCACTATATATTTCTGACGATGTTAGTTCTGAGAATTTGATTTTGGATCAACTAATAATCCCCTAATTTATATTTTTCATTATTCTCAACACATGTCTGCTTGATATTGTGACTACATTTTTAGGAGAAATTTTATCTTGGTTACACATCGGAGTGAAAGGGTTAGGAGAATGTGCAATTATATTAAGGTATATATTCTCATCACTTGTTTGCTTGCTGAATGATGCATTGATACCAAAGGGACCTAAATGTCAATTAATTCTAGGAGGTAGGGGGTTAAATGATAGTCCAGCAGCATATCAGGATTTCAGTCAGGTGTTTCAGGTGGGTAAAGAGAAGACATGCATCCTTTTGGTCTAGACGAACTGGTTCCTGGCTGCTCAAAGGGCTTGGGCTCAGGTTTGGTTTTAGCATTTTCAGCTTTTTTGCTGTAATTTATAAAAAAGTAGAATCAGTCCTACTAATAATCATAGCTATCTTTCATATTACAATTAAATATATTCCTAATATCCATCTTCTTTAATTTATGTTAATTTATTTTTTAACCTTTCTTTTGTTAATTTAATTTATTCATGGTTTTGACTTTGGATTTGCAATGTAATAGCTGTTTGCAGATCTTCAAACGAAAAACAAACACCATTCCTAAATTTTTAACAAGATCATCAGCTGTTTCCATTAGGATCATTTGTGGTCCTGCAATCACCTGGAAAGCTTTACAGTCCTCATACAAATATATCAGAAATGTGAAAATCTTCTAAAAGTATACTACCTCTTATCTTTCAGCTGAATAAAAAGTGTGACAGCCTTCTTCCTTGAAAACTTTCGGTCCATTGCATCTTCTCGAAATTGTTTGTAAACACTTTCTTTATTTCCGTAGAGAATAGCAACACCATTCTGTGTAAATATGTGAAAAAGCAAATATCACTTTGTTATAAGACACTTTTTTAAAGGCTCCATACATTACAAAATTCATAAGCTGGTACCTTTTTTTATCTGGGCATGAAAATGTAATAACTTTCTTAAGGGAAGGTACCTAAATCAATACAATCTCATGGTGTTATTGATAAATTCACAAATAGTAGCTACCTGGTCATTGTCTCCTGAGTCATTAGATTCCTCATTCAGTTTACAGCTGTCTTCAGCTCGGCTCCCTTGATCTGTAATAATTACAATTATTGTGATCATGTAAATGAAATTGATAATGAAATTGATGGCAATAGGACCGGGTGGAGTCCAATTTGGGTCTGTAATCATGCAAGTGATTAACAACATTGGATGACTGTGAAGCAGGAGTCTGATTTGTCAATTACGAGTATGATTACAGAATTTTTTAACCTCAGTTTCAGTAAAAGTGGTGGATACTTACCTTCAGGCTTTGCTTCTTGATAAATATCTACCACTATTCACCTCTACTTTAATGAATAAGTGTTAACTGTTAATGACTACCTTCGCAAGATCTTGCACTGGTGTCCAATCCTCTAGAGTCTTCGGCTCTTTGAGCGACAAGGAATATATGGAGTAAATCAATCAGCAAGCATCAGACAAACAATTGTTTTACTCAGGAAAATCAAAACACAACAAAATAACAACCCATCATCACAAACAGACAATAAAAATTATTGCCTTGTCATTTTGCCTTTGCTTTGTTTGTTTAATTTGCTAGATGCATGTAATCCATGTATGGTAAATTACAAAGGTAAGAAATTTGATGTTTTGAACAATTTTGACAACATTTACTATCAAATAACTTACAGATTATGAAAACACCCACATTCTAGTAGGTGATCAACCATTGTTATTGAGGGTTTATCTAAGCCTTTAATTCTTTAACCCTGAGTGTCTTGACTAGGGGTGGGGATGTCCCTCCCACTTCCTGTACATTTATTCATTTATTTTTTTGTGTTGCTATGTGAATTGACAGGTTGGCTCGTTGCCATGGGCCACGTGCTCATGTGTGAGATAAAAAACAAGTTGAGTTCAGGAGTTTGGAGTAACATGAGCGAATAAAGTTGTTTAAAAAAAACGAATCAGCCAAGTCCAATTGTCATCTGGCAACGACACTGAGAATGACTAGTTCCTAATTTCTCCCAACGGTATAACCCCTGTGCCACACAGTAAGGTCATGAGAACAAAGGAAATGATCACCAACTAAATATTTTATTGATTAATAGACAAATTTTCCATGTCAGCACCATAAGATTTGTATAGAAAACAGTATAGAGAATATGCATACTAATATTAGGGTGTAAAGGATTAAGAAGCATTTTCCCAGCAATTCCTGTCACAGAGAGGTGTTGATTAATATGACAAAAATGTAACATACCCAGGTTCTTCTCTGCTAACCACCAGCACTGGTGTTTTCCTTGACGTAAGAAGCATATGAGTGATTGACTTGGAGTCTACAACACCATCCTGTTCTTTGAACTGGAGAAGCTGTTGGTCTACTGGTATTTTGAATTGTGCTGTGATTAATTCTTTAAGAGCTTTCACAGAAATATTTTTGGGATCCACCATCAGAGTGATTGGGTCTCTCCCAACTGCTTCAATAGTCAGTTCCTCTGTAGCATTAACAACCTCAATCACTTCATTTTCACCCAAGTCATAAGAGCTTAAGAAACAAAACAAGCTAAGTTTTAGTACTAATAATTTTCATGAGAGCTTTAAGTTTCCTGGCAATGGCTATAAGGCAATGCTTGGGAAACAACACAGCATGATGTGGAACATTTATATAGTAAACTTCTAATAAAGATATCAGAAACAACCCTGTTTCACTAAGATATACTGGTTAAATTATAGCCTGGGATACACTTATGCAAGTCTGAGACACCAAGTCAATTTACAGACCATGTCCATCCAAAAAAACCATCTATGCAAGATTAAAATAACTTATCTTAATTGATCACTCCTGGCACACTCTACATAAGGTAAAAGACTGTACCTGATGGTTTCTTCTTCTTGTAAAACCTGGCCCCCTTTCAACAGGCAGGAGATACTGGATCCCCAACTTCCTTTAATTTCTTGTTTCAAGTCAGCAATAGTTGCTGTCCTAGGATCAGCCACTGTTACTGGAACAAGACGATAACTTCCTTGTTCTCGCACATGATGCACAAACATTTTCATGGTATCAGCTTCAGGCTTGAATTTCAGCTCAATCAAACCATCTACTTCTGCTCTCTCACCATAGATATCAACATTAGGCTGTAGTTTCTTCTTATCTGAAGCACTGAAGAATTTGAAACGACCTGCTGCCCAAGTACAGCCTTCAATAATCAGTGGATTAGATAGTGACTGCTTTGCCTCCACCAACCAAACACCAAGGTATATTCCACCAAATGTGATGTCTACCTCAGCAGCTACAGTTAAGAGAAAGAAATTGAACAAATTAAACTTCTTTAGTACAAAATAATTTATAGCAGAGTTTAAGAAATATCTGACAATGCCCAAAAATACTTTTTAATTCTTATTATTGTCCCTCAATTTCAGTGTTACTGGAAAGCTTTTTGCTTAGAAGTGAAATGGTCTACACTCTGTGTATCTTTCCTACATGCACCAATTATAAGAATACCACAGATTCTTGACTAAGCACCTAAGGTGTTTATTTCAAATTTAGGATCAGACATGAAGCATGTATTCCTAGGGTGCTCTTGACACTTAACTCCTATGAGTGACCAGGACAGAATTTCTCCTTACAATATCAATACAATATCAAGCACATGAGTTATGAGAATGAAGAAAAATATCAATTAGGAGATTATTAGTTGATCCAATACCAAATTCTTATAACACGATGTCTGGTAGACAGTAAGGAGAATTACTAATTAAAATAAATGAGATCTTGGGAGTGAAAGATTTAACTGAACATAGCACTACCTCAATTTTTGCCAAAAATGTGACTTGTTATGATTTGTTTTTTTCTGTTGATATATAACATTGCTAAGTCCGCATAAGTATGATCCTTAGGTTATACACAGAAGCAAAGTTGTTCAGGGAAGTTATTTGTCCCAACTTAATCATCTCGAAATTGTTAGATGCAACTTGAAAAGGAACAAATTGGTTTCTTCAGCTGTAATGATACATAATTGGGATCTACTAGCAGTATTTTTTTCAGGCTGAGTGAGGGTGATAGCCAAAATCAATATCCACATCCTCTGTCATGTAAAAGTACTAATCCAGTAAAGCCAGGGAAGGAGAAAAGGCTCCCACTTGAAAAAATTCTCCTAGAGGAGGTGCCCATGGAGAATGACAAAACATTTGCCCATTATTAACCTACCACGATCATTGTTATTTCCAATTGATATGAAAAACTCTGTTCCACTCTCCATTGTGACCACTGCTTTCTCCTCAGTGCTTTCACAGAGCTTGCTGTTGCTGATCACCACAGAATAGCCTGCTTTGCAGTATGGTTCAGGTCGCCATGAAATTTGGTCGTCTTCATCTGATGAGGCGCCAGATGAGGCTCCACCCTCCCTTGAGGCAATCATTTGAAATATCTGACCCAATGCTGACCCAATTTCCTCAATTGATGCATTGGAGATTCTGATCATACCCCGTCCAGTGGACTCAGATTCCCCATGATCTGAAGAGAGAATACTTGACAGGAGGTTGAACTCTTGAGACCCTACAATGGCACTTTCCTCTTCCTCTGAAACAATGCCTTTGTTAACATCAGATTCACTTGTTTTTTCCACAGGACAGGACTCCTCAGAATCTTCCCTTACTTTTAGTTGTGTTTTTACATTTCCAATTCCAGCTGGAAGCATTTCACTGTCTTTTGAATTGATTGTGGAGGATGTTCCTTCAATGATTGTTTCTGTAATTTGAGATTGGATGAATGCTTCGGGGCTTTTATCTCCATCAAAACTATTCAATTCTGACTTGCTTTCGACAGGAGATAATCCGTTAGAATTGGTGCTTTCAATTTGTCGAACAGACTTTTCCTTTTCAGGAGGAAGTATTATTTGTTCATCCAGGTTGTTCATAACAGTTATTGCACCATGTGGGTCTGTTTCTGCAACATGAAATTCAGAGAACCACATCTCACTCAATGAACATAGGATCTCTAGCTGTCTCTTCCAAGAAGACTGACTTAACCCTTTAACTCCCAGATCAAATTTGTAATTCCCCTTACTTTAAACCATACAATTCTTATGATGTTAGTTCAGAGAATTTAGTATTGGATCAACTAATTTTTTATTTGGTTGATATTGTATTGATATTGTGAGGAGAAATTCTGTTTTGGTCATTCATGGGAGTTAAAGGGTTAAGATGAATGTATATACTTTTTTTGGGGTTTAGATCAACATAACATTCTCATCAGAGCTGGTTAACAAATCATTAGTGGTTTAGCATGGTCTGTACTGTTATTGACAATGATATTTGTCATCATTGTGGTCAAAATGTTGTAGACTCACAGAATGCAGCTGTAAAATTTAACAGCCATCCATGTTTGAGAGCTACATGTAATAAAGGCATTGCTTGACACATTTCCACGTGCAGCATTGTTTGTACTATCATCAACAACAGCAAATTGGCCATTCAGATTATGACAGTACCCCCAAATTGTGGTAAAAACACTTTGCAGGATTAAAAGTCACTATACAATTGATAATATTATATTTCATAATTATGTAGTTTTCATACCTGTTGTGCTTGTAGTCGTCACTTCATTGGTGACTTCTGATTTTTCTGCAACTGAAAATTCAGAAATTTTGAGAATTCAAATTAACACATAACATTTTCATAAAAATTCTAAGTGCATTTATATGACTCATTAATACAATGTCAATTAGACAAGTGATGACAATACAGAAAATTCCTATCAGGAGACTATTAGTTGATCCAATAACAAATTCTCTGAACTAATGTCACACAAACTGTACATTTATGACAGACAGTGAGGGGGATTAGTACATGAAATCTTGGGAGTGAGAGTCCTTCTTGAATTTGTATCTACAATTAAAATCTAATTCTGCCTTTCCTAGGAGTACCAAAAAAACACTGATACACAATACAAGCTGATTAAGCCCAGAAGAAATAATATATCACAATACAATGCTGTACATGCTAATGGGATATGTTACAGAAGCTTTGAAAGTAAGTATAACTCTCCTCTTGTTTGTTTAAATATGGAGAAGGTAAGAATTAAAAGTTGTTTAAGCAGTTAATGTCAACCCAAACTTCTAAAGAGCCCCCCC